GCTACAGCGCCACTTCCAGTTTTTGGTGGTTTATTGGAGATGAGTTTCACGGACTTTCTTGCCCAGGCTGGCTTTGAACATTGATCCTCAGATATCAGCCCGGTTGACCAGTATTTTCTTGGCTTGTGTGTTTATGCATATATGTAAGCACATGTATGCATATACACACTTACATTTGAAGGTGGACAGCTATTTTCTTACAAAGTTTTCTTATTGGAAAATTCAGTTTTTCCTTAATTCCATCAGAACACCAGTACCCTAGAAAAGTTCAAGACAACTTCAAGTCTAAGCCAAAATACTGAATCCAGAAAAAGATAAGTATGTGTGTGTTGTTGGTAGTGGTGGTAGTGGTGGTGATGGTGATGGTGGTGATGATAGTACCAGAGCTTGAACTCATTTGAGTTCCTCGTCCTCAAGCTTTCTGCCTTTCTTACCCATAAATTGTACTCTATAGCTTGAGCTACTCCTCCAATTCATAAGCATAGAAAAAGAAAAAAAGCAGGGCTGGGAAGGTGGCTCAGTGGTAGAGCGCTTGCCTTGCATGCATGAGGCCCTGGGTTCGATTCCTCAGTACCACACAAGCAAAAAGAAAAAAGCTGGAAATGGCGCTGTGGCTCAAGTGGTAGAGCGCTAGCCTTGAGCTGAAGAGCTGAGGGATAGCGCCCAGGCCCAGAGTTCAGGCCCCACGACCGGACTCCCCCCCCAAAAAAAAAAAAAGAAAAAAAGAAAAAAGCATCAACAGCAGAAGACCCTAACCAATAAACAAATCTATGAACGTGGTGCTGATATGGCTTCTTAGAACAAAAAGAAATATATACTTTAACTGGCTGCATTTATTATTGCAATGGTAGTAGACACAATTAGAGCTAAGTTTGACATCCAGACTTGACATATCCTTAGGAGTATCTCTAGTCATTCTTTTTTCTTTTCCTTTTTTCTTTTCTTTTCTTTCTTTTTTGTTTTGCCAGCCCTGGGGCCTGAACTCAGGGCCCAGGCAATGTCCCTGAGCTTCTTTTGCTTGAGGCTAGCACTCTACTACTTGAGCCACAGAGCCACTTCCTACTTTTTCTGTTTAGGTGGTACTGAGGAATTGAACGCAAGGCTTCATGTATGGTAGGCAAGCACTCTACCACTAAGCCACATTCTTAATCCTCTGGTCATTCTTGATGCATCATTTTATTCAATGAACTGCAAGGTGTGAATGATGTCATCACTCACTGTACTTGTATTTCTACATTTCTCAATTTGTTATATAGGAGAGACAAATATTACATTTTGTGTTCACTTTAAATTAAACAAAGGTCAATTAAATTAACCAAATATTAAGTGCTCGGTATACATAAGGTACTAATTCAGTTTATAAGAAATAAAAAGAACTACTGTTTTGATCACCTATTATGCGTGTTAAGAGCCATTGCTATTAAGTCCTTTAGATGTCTTATTTTAATTCTTGCATAACCCTATAACATACATATCACTGCAAATTTGATGGTGGAAATTGAAGCATGAAGAACATGACCAAGTTATATAGTTATTAAGTAGGTTATCCAGACTTTAAACCTAGGCTTGTTTGACTCTAGGGTTCCACTATGGGGACAAAGGATCTTTGTATGTGCAGAACTTTCAATAGTAGAATTTCTCTTATGGTAGGTGCACAGTATCATGAAAAGTAAGGGTGGAAGAGCATCTACAAAGTATGAGCAATCATGGAATTTTTTTCCTGTAGCTTTGGGGCTAGTATTAAAGAATGTGGCAGAAATTCTGAGCCAGTGTAATACGTGTTCCAGGTTAGAAAAATAAAAGCCTAGAGGTAGGTCTGAGCAGATTGTCTGAGATCCACTTGGCTCAAATGTAAAGCTCCTATTATTTCCCTTATAATTTAAGGGAAATTATAATAGTCACTATTTATTTTACTATTTCTATGTTATTGTCAGACTCTTGACAGATGCTACTTCTCAGGTTTAGCAACCCCATGGGGGTAGAAAGCCTTCATTTCCATATGGTATTTAGAAACTTAATAAATGATTGTATAGGAGCAAGCCATACAGAAGAATATATAATATCCATGAGCTTTTGAGCCTCTTCTAAGAAGGATGTTCCGTGATAGTTTTAACAGCAACACAGAGGGCATGAGGAAGAGCTGGCTTTCTAAGATTGAACAAAGGGAAAATTATTTTTGGGAAATGCAGATGCTGATGACTTCTGTTATTTATGTGAAAATGGATATCACCTAATTGGAGATTAAGTTTGTGATCAAGACCCAGTTACAAGCTGGGCACTGGTGGCTCATGCCTGTAACCCTAGCTACTCAGGAGGCTGAAATCTGAGGATAATAGTTTGAAGCCAGCTGGGGGAAGAAAAATCTCTGTGAGACTCTTATCTCCAATTAACCACACAAAAATTGGAAGTGGTGCTGTGTCTCAATGTGTTAGAGAGCTGGCCATGAGCAAAAGAGCTCAGGGATAGTGCCCAGGTTCTGAGTTTAAGCCCTATTACTGACCAAAAAAAATTAGAAGCGTGACATTGATCAAGATGCATTGTACTCATATTTTGTTGAATGGCAACTCCTTTGTACAACTATTTAAAGATAACATATGTAAACCTATTAATCTATCTATCTACCTATCAATAATTAGAAAAGCCACTTGTGGTGTGTGTCTGTAGCCCTGCTTATTTGGGAGGCTAACGTGAATGATCTTTGAGCCCAGGTATTGGACTATATGGAGACCCTGTCTTAGAGAAAAAAAAGTAGGAGGAAAAAAAGATGCCACATTGAACATATATCATTTCCCTAATCTTGGACAGATCTCAGTGCAGATCTCTCCACTGAACTTGCGGTCTTGCTCCTAAGATTAATTACTCTCATCAAATCATGAGCAAATAATTATTTTGCCTTAAAATACTCAAGGCCAAACTCTAGAATATAAACAATGAGTTGCCAGGTGCTGATGACTCACACCTGTAATCCTAGCTACTCAGGAGGCTGAGATCTGGGAATCATGGTTTAAAGCCAGCCTCGAAACTCTTATCTCCAATAAACCACCAGAAAACCAGAAGTGGCACTGTGGCTCAAGCAGTAGAGTGCTAGCCTTGAACTGAAGAGCGCAGGGACAGAGCCCAAGCCCAGACAGGGCTCAAGCCTCACTATGGACCAAAAACATTAAGTTTAAGGTGTCAAATAGGACATTGACGTGTGTGGATTATTTGGGAGATGAGGGAGAGGACAGATCAGCAGAGTACACAGAGATGGACAGCGAACATAGGTTGAGACCAGCAGCTCACACCTTAACAGACGTTTTTCCTATTGACTCCGTTGCTCAGGAGGTACCATGGTGTTAAGACACATGCATTAGATTTAGACTGAAGGAGTCATTAAATCTTAGGTCTCCTTATTGTTGATGGTACAGTATTGGACAAATAACTTAGCTTTTCAGAGCCCATTTCTTCTTTTTTAAAAAAAAGTGAGTAAAGGCTGGCGATGGTGGCTCACACCTGTAATCCTAGCTACTCAGGAGGCTGAGATCTGAGGATCATGGTTCAAAGCCAGCCCGGGCAGGAAAGTCCATGAGACTCTTATCCCCAATTGACCACCAGAAAACCAGAAGTGGTGCTGTGGCTCCAGTGGTAGAGAGCTAGCTTTGAGCTGAAGAGCTGAGGGACAGCGCCCAGGCTCAGAGTTAAAGCCCCATGATCACCACCACCAACAAAAAGTATAATTAATAAGATGATTTCTAAAAATACATGGTGATGTTGGGGAAAACTGTACTTTATCCTTAACGTTGTTTTCCTTGCTATCACCTGTGTGGTTGGGTTAGTCCCATTTCCTCTTCCCTCCTGGAGGCTCCCACAGTACAAGTTGTTGTTATGCGTGCAGGACTTTGGTCGACATCTCCCTAGCTCCCATTCAGGCATAGGAAGAGGAAGCGGTTCCTGCCTTCTGTTTTGATTGATATGCTCGAGTTGATATTTATTTAGTAGCTACAAAGTCCTCGTTACTGTGTTAGGTCCTACTGGGCACTACAAAATGAGAAACTACCTCTGAGTACATAAACTATTGGGAGTCGAGGAGGTGAAGGAAAGTGATGAAGGCGAGCTTTTGTGCGCAGCGAACGCCTAGTGGAAGGCAAGTGGCATTCTTTGCAGCAGGGCTGTCCTTTAAATCGTGACAGATGACAGCTTTCACCATGCGGAGAGACTGGAAAAAAAAAAGAAGACAAAAGACAAAAATCGACCGACCTCTGGGGCTTCTCAAAGCACACGAGTGTCAAAGCCAGCGCTGACAGCGAGGGGACGTCATCTGCGGACCCCTCAGCCAGTAGGCAGAGGGCAGGGTACGCAGGACCGGCCGTGACCCCCGCGAACCAAACTGCCCCAGTGACAGCAAGCTGGCTGCAGCAGCCGCGGGCTGCGATCGCTCCCAGGCCGGCTGGAGCAGGGTTTATCCGGCCCTCCACTGCTGTCGCCTCGCAAACTCTTAGACAGCTGCAGTTTTCAGATTTCATCCCCCCCCCCCCCATCGTCTTTTCTCTCCCAGGGGGTGAAACGCGCCGCCACTAGCGTCCGAGGGAAGGAAAGGGGGTGGTGGTCTCCTCTGCGGATGTACTTGGGCTCCTCCCGAGCTCCGCCAGGCTCAAACTTCGCCACACTCAACATGGCTTCCTGCCACTTCCTTTCTTCTGGGTGGCTCACGCTCACCTTCACGCCACACTCAACATGGCACGAACCCAAGGTCGCATTCCTAAGGAACCGTCTCCGGACAGTTCTCGCGAGGTTTGGCTGAGGGTGTGTGTGGGGGAGCTCCCCCCCCCCCCCGCGCCGCGCCTCCCCGCCCGGATTGCTCCCGCCCTGCCTCGCGCCGCCGCCTCCACCGCTGCCGCCGGCGCCGCTCCTCCTCCGTGTCAGTTGTTGGTCTGTAATGGCGACTGGGCCGGCGCTGCCGAAGTGACTCCCGGGCGGGGGAGTGGGGACGGACCTGCGCCGGAGAGAACTGCAGAGAGCCGCAGCTCGGGGGGGTGGCTTGCTGCGGGGGAGGGGAAGGAAGCTTTTCCGCCTCTCCTTCCTTCCCTGCCGACCAGCGGATCGCGGTAGCCGGTGCGAGGCAGACGCCCGGTGCGTCCCCGGAGCGGGGAGGCCTGGCCGGGCAGCCCTGGGGCCGGTCGGGGCGGCGTCACTGCACCCTCCGCCAGGCCCCGCGGGATGCACCGTGGGCGCCGAGGGCGGAGGCGACATTCTCAGGTGAGCTGCGGCCGGACCCGGCGGAGACTGCGGACGCTCGCGCGGCCTCGGCTGCCTCTGTCCGCGGTCCCCGCTCCCCTCTCCCCGCTCCCCGGTCCCGGGCGGTGGCGAGCGAGGCGGGGCGGGGCCGCCTGGCCTGGCCTGGCGTTTCCCTCGGAACCTGCTTGGGTCCCGGGGCTGTTGGGAGAGGTCATCCTGAGACGTGGGTTTCGGGTCCCTCTCGTAGGTGTCACGGACACCTTTCCTCGCCTGCCCGTGTGTCCCCCGCTCTCTGCCTCGCCCCTCCTCTCCCCTGCCGGTAGGTGAGGTGCCGCTCACCTTCGGTCTCCCGGGGACCGTCCTTTCTTGGTTTGGAGATGTAGCATATTTTGGGAGATTCCCGGGGCTGGTTTCAGTGGATGATCAGTTTTCCTCTTTTCCACGGGGGTAACGTTCTCAAATGCAGTACGGGGAAAACTTTAATCCGCTCCAGTCGGGCAGTTGTTGAATGTAGCCTCCCAGTTGATTCACAGATGATTCGGGGGAGGGGGGGTTTGAGGTTCGCTTTGGAAGTGGTCGCTGTCCCCTCCCCCTTCTTTTAAATGCAGTCCAGTGTGCTCAAATAATGTCACACATACAGACTGGAAGTTTGCCAGATTTAATTTTTCTTTTCAACTAGGAAGTTGCACACAGGTATAGATTTTAATGTGGCTTTGATGGGGTAACAGATTCTTCATTTGGGAAAAAAAAAAAGTAGGTAGTGTAGTCTGTAACCATGAACTCTTAATTGTTTTGATAGTGATCCTGTTTTGAATTTGGAGGAGTCGTTGTAGTTGCCATGTTAACCTTTCTTCCTGGCTTGTATTTTAAGGAGAGTCAGTCTCAGACCTTTTTAACAAACTGAGTTTTGTAGAAGTAACAAATACTACAAGCTACTTCTCCATTGAAAAAACGTCTCAGTTTTACATTGGTTTTAATCAAGGTACTAATAACATGAGATTGTGACTTTGGGGGATTAGTTGTTGGACTCCATGCTTAGACCCATGAACTTACAATAGTTTTGTTATGCTTAACTGACGAACTATTCAGTGTAATAAATTTGAACTGTCACTGATTACATTGAGATACTTTAATGCTTGAGCTAGAATACATTGTATGTGTGGATGTGTATTTTGTCATCTTAAAGTATAATATATATGTTATACCATATGTCGTTTATATGGTATATTGTGATATTTCACATGTGAAATGTGATACATATGATAATATGATATATGTGAAATTATACATGATATATATTTCATATATGTGATATAGCATATATATGAGTGATTTTATTCATATGTGAGAGATTTAAACAATTTTCAAGTATATAGTGTAATGTTATGTAAGAAAGTTAATACTTGGGACAGTCATCTTTCTGTTGTGTTATCAATTTATTATTTATTAGTTATCTTTTTTTTTCTTCTGCTTCTGATTGCCAGTCTTTTACAACCATTTTAAGCTTTCTACCATATTATGGACAGAAAAACGGCAATGAAGTCCTGGTATAAGTACTTTCAATTGCTCAATTGTTATAATTTATAGTGAGAATGCAGCCTGAAATAGTTGACATTGAACGTATTGGTAAATGTGTATCTTGTCTTTATTTTTTTGTATGTATGTACTTCTACATACATTATTTTACTTGGTCTTCATACAATCTTATTTTGCAGTTGTGGAAATTGACATTTGAAACCACTTATTTATATAATAACTAGTGCTCTTAATTCTGCAGATGATCTAGAATTTGTTTTATTTTAGATTAAATATTAGAATAGATAAATTTAGCATTTGCCTTTATTTCAAAATACTAAGGAAATTCTGTTCTTGTTTCTTTTTTCTTTTTCTTTTTGGTCAGTTGTGGGGCTTGAACTCTGGGCCTGGGCACTGTCCCTTAGCTCTTCAGCTCAAGGCTAGTGCTCTATCACTTGAGCCACATCATCACTTCTGATTTTCTGGTGGTTAAATGGAGATGAGAGTCTCATGGACTTTCCTGCCCAGGCTGGCTTTTCAACAGTGATCCTTAGATCTCAGCATCCTGAGTAGCTAGGGTTGCAGGTGTGAGCCACTGGTACCGGGCCCTTGTTTCTTTTACATGCCCCATTTACATCTTATGTTGATAGTTAATTCTTCAAAAGTGTTAGCATTTTTCATAACAGTTTAATTATTAAGAAGGCATGAATTATCTTGTATCATTTTTTTCTTTTAGTTTTTGCTTCTTTTTTCTTTGCCTTTTTTTCTTTTCTTTGTGCCAGTACTGGGTCTTGAACTCAGGTCCCTTAGATTTTTTTTCCACTCAAGCATGTCATGATTAGTTGGATGTAGCTGCCAGGGTTGGCTTTGAAATATGATCCTCAGATCTCAGCCTGAGTAGCTGGAATTACAGGTGTGAGGCATGAGTGCCCAGCTAAACAAGGTTCTTAAATTGTAGTGGGCGGTGGAGGTGGGTGTGGCCCAGTGGTACAGTACTGGCCTAGTATACCTGAGGAGCTAGATTTGATTCCCAGGATTAAAAGAAACGAACAAACTTGTAGTGAATTTATTGTGTTCTTCTTCTTCTTCTTTTTTTTTTTTTGCTCAGTCTTGGGACTTGAACTCTGGGCTTGGGCGCTGTCCTACACTCTTCAGCTCAAGGCAAGCGCCACAGTGCCACTTCTGGTTTGGAGATAAGAGGCTCGTGGATTTTCCTACCCGAGCTGGCTTTGAACCGTCATCATCAGATCTCAGCCTCCTGAGTAGCTGGGATTACACGCATGAGCCATGGGTACTCAGCTGTGAATTTATTTATTTATTTTTTGGGTCCAGTTGTGGGTCCTGAACTCTGGGCTTGGGCGCTGTCCCTCAGCTCTTCAGCTCAAGGCTAGCGCTCTACCACTTGAGCCACAGCGCCACTTCCGGCTTTTTTCTTTT